ATTGAAAAATCGCATGTTGGAACGTTAAAAAAAGAGCAGTTATTCAAAAGAAGCTCAGAGATATTTTTTAGAATGTTAAGCTTTTATTTTTATTTTTTATTTTTTTAAGATGACAAACTAAAAAAAGAATTCATAAAAAAACTTTTTTATTAATTCTATTTATTAGTTTGTCATCTTTTTTTGAACAAAACATCCAAATTAGAGGGCAATAAGAAAACTTAGACAAAATAAAAGCATTAAACAGCAGAATAGATTACGCGATAAAAAAATTCTTATGAGTGAAAAAGCTAAACATTTACCATTAATTTTACTGCATAACTGTTTAATGTGTTCCTCAAAATTTACATCTTTATCAATTGTTATACCATGTAGTTTGACTTTATTGGAGGCAAAAACCCTTATATTACTTATTTTTAGCGATAGACTTTTTGTGTGTTTTTTTGCCAACTAAAAGAAATTGGAAATTATCTGGATTAGCAACCATAGAGTTTAATTGAAACCAATAGATGGTATTGGTTGCTTCTTTTTGCAAATGAAAAATAACCTTAAAGCTATAATCACAAGCATAGTGTATCTCAATATTAAAAAAACCATAAAATCTAAAAATTTGCATAAACCCTGAATAACGAAGGGACTTTTGAAACCATCAAAAATAAAAGCTCTACGAAAAAAAACAAAAAAAAAAAAACAACCAACCTTAAATGATAATGGTGAGATTTTTCATAAGAAAATGGTTGCTGAGAAACTTAAATACTATTTTATAAGCATTGAAACAAACTAGCCAGTGAAATCTCTCCAACTTGGACTTATACTCATTATTATTTAATATTATCATTAGACTTATATTCATCGATAAATTTTAATTTTTATAGTAAAATTTCTCAGCGTTTAATAATTATGATCATATAAAATTTGTAACCCCCTCATATTGAGAGGGGTTTAAACTATGTAAGAACATAATTATTAAACACTGAGAGATTTTACTATAAAACTTAAAACTTATCGAAGAATATAAGTTTAGTTAAGAATGGTAAAATAGATACTTTATCAACTTGTTGCTCTCTCGTTTGGGACAGATGAGCGCAAAAATTTTGCGATTATTTTATTCCCAGGCTCCAATCATCGCAATTTTTTGCATAGAATTGAATGCTTTGCGAAAATTGCGATGATTTGGATTAGGAGTATTAGATATTGGATAAGGACATTGGACGAGGAATAAAGATTCATTATTTGACGTAAGTATAAACACAGGCCCGGACTGGGCCGCCGGGATACCTGGAGATTCCCGGTGGACCGGTTGCCATAAAATTGCCATAAAATCAGATTTTTAGCTAGACTACATTTTATTTTCGGTTGATAACTAAAATGTATCTAAAAAAAATGGTAACTTTTATTCTGGCGTATAATAGGTTATAGCCTATTACAGGTTAGAAAAAAAGTTATTATATTTTATGCTAATATACAGATGCGCTCTTGGACATCTGCCGGCTAGCTATATAAATTTTGACAGCTTTCTTGAAAGGATCGAAAGTAGTATCCCGGTGGGAAATCGGCTAACGAATATCAAGCTATAATTGTTACGATAAAGACAGCGATTTGGCCACGAAGATCGTCAGCTTTTTTAAGTTAGCGAAAAGCTATCGATATTTGTAAAGATAAAGACAGCGATTTGGCTACGAGGACAGCTCGCTAAATAAGCTAAAGACTCACAGGCTATTGTAGCTACCGTCATATTTTAATAAAATCGCTATCAAAAAATTTTGGTATGTAGCTATCAACCAGCTATAGATTTGTAGATATTTTGTAGCTAGTTACAAAGCTACGATATGTAGCTAGCGACACATTGCTACAAAACCGCAATGTTTAAAGTTCAATTATTCTCATAATTATAATAGACTCAACTCTAAAAATCAAATTTTTAAAGATGTTAGAGACATTAGTAAAGAATAAAATAAGAAAAAAAAAATTGCTAGAAAATCGCTTTAAAGCTAGCTAGTCGCTCACTCGTCGCTAGCTCATTTCCCACCGGGATATACTAATGAAAATAAACCTTATTAGTTAACAAATCGTCGCATGAGAATTATAGAGTTATATCTGCCTTGTTTTATGTTGAAAGAATTTAACAATCAAAGTTTTAAATATTAATAAATAATAAAAACGAACCACTTAAAAACTGATATATTGTATATTATTTTTTAAGTGGTTAATATAGATAACATAAACAACTTATAATTTATAATTATAATAAATAACAGGTCATAGGGCGCCATAAGAAAAAAGAAACAAAAAAGAAAAAGAAAAATAACTTTAAAAAGTTTAAATAACCTTATTACTGTTTAGCTTAAATTAACGTTTTAATTTTATGTTTTCATTTTATAACACGTATAAACACGTTTTAAACGAGGAAAGTTTCCTAATTTTTCTCACACATTTTACATCAACGTTACATTAAGTTAGCATTATTTAAAACGAAGAAATAGTCGTGTAGCGTAGTGGTAGCGCACTTGCCTCAGAAACAAAGTATCAGTGGTTCAAACCTTACTCTCGCCTGCCAAATATACGGGGGAGGGGGGGAGGGAGTCGTCTATTAAGTTTCATTATTATTTTCCTGATCCCCCGGAGCTTATTAGGACCCCCGTTTATTAATTTTGAAGCAATTAAAAATGGTTTCGTTATTTTTTTTACTTTGAGAAATAAATTTTTTCTTTACTCAAAAGTCTCTCCATCATAAATTAAAATAAAAAGAACCAACTAAAATCTTCTTTTCATTTTGAGAAAGGAGAAGCGTATTAGTCATAGTTGATTTAAAACTATTAGTCATAGTTGATTCCATTTACTGAAGCTAAGATGTCAAGAAAGTTTGTTAGAGGAGAGAAGGATAAATATTCTGTCACCATTTTCAAAAACCAATATAATATCGCTGAAGAAACGGATCCAAACAGAGAAAAATTCAAAACTTGTACAGTTTAAGATTTTTTTTTAATTTCAAAAATAGATTAGGTTTTTCTTCTGAGTTTAATACTTTACTTCTAGTGTTTTTGTGTGTTTGGCTTTTTTAAAAATCCAACCCTCCCGTTTATTAAGACCTCTTTCCCCTGTTTATTAGATTTTAGAAATATTCCGACCCTCCCAGACCCTTCCCCCCCCCTCGTTTATTTGGCAGGCTAGAGTACTTCTGGGCAAGTTTTGTAACATCAGTCAGGAAAGAGGCATGTTAAATGTTCTTCTGCGGTGCTCTGTGATAAGACCGTTAGGGCTTCTTGAGGCACTTAAAATAAAATAAAAAGAACAGCAATTTAATTGAGTATTTAATTTGCAGACGCAATTGAATGTATTTCCATTCGATTGAGAATGTGATCGTCTAATACCAGACGACCCTTTAGATCGAATATGATTGTCTCATATCAGGCGACTGAACAGAACAGACTAAATTGCTACATCATCATACCTGTAGACATATTTGTTCTTGTTGCGTATGATCTCAACTCAGAGTCTCTAATGCGTTAGTTATTTCTTCCCCAATCACCTTGAACTATACTTCGTTCTTCTACTTCACAAAAGTCTTACCACTTATTTTTTTTTTCTTATAATTTTTATTCTTTATTCAACAATACCATCTACAATTTATCTTTAATATCACATCTCCCAGGTCTTCGTAACTGGGAGACTCTGTTAATCACCTATATGCGATCTTTGTGTCGCATATAGGTGATTATTTGTGTGGCCTACGGTTACTAATGTGTGCTGTCAATCAATTGAAATCCTTTCTGTAGGTATTACGTTCGGCTGTGATTTGCTAGCCCATAAGCGCAAGAAGTGAGAGTGTTTAGCTTTCTATTCACCATATTTGAAATGCACGAAAACATATCGAGACCATACTAGACGACCGAACGGAACATACCAATGTACTACACCATCACATCTGTCGACATCATCAGTTTCTAATATCAGTAAATCAAATTTTTTTTACTCGTTAGCTTATTAGCTTTTGAGTCACCCAAAGGAGGATTGACAATTATTCTAATTTTTAGCCTAAAAACAATCACCTAAGAAGCTATCTTTAAAATCCCAGCAGTAGAAAACAGCGACAGCCGCAGAAATTTTGCAAAAATGGTTGTTTTTTATTGTATTGTAAATTTGTGTTGACATTATCCTCATCACAAGTTTCTTGTGAAAGATAATTTTCGAAATTGAAATATATTTTGATCAGATAAATAAATTTGTTGAGCCAGTCAAGTTTACAATTGTTCATTTTGATGTTTTATAAAAAGTACCTTTTTCCAAAAACTAATAACAAAGCAATCATTTATATTTTGGCATACACTAGTCAAACGAAGAATAAGTTGCTATACTAATCAATAGTGAATAACGATTGTATCTACTATTTCTAGACTCCAACTTACAGCAGTGATTTAGAAATATTTATTTTTTTTATCAATATTTAGGTTGGGAAATTTAAAAGTCCTTTTTTATACAAAAATTAACAATAAATACTAAAAAAGACACCTAAATATAAAAAGTCCTTTATACCAATAATATAAGTAAATTTAGAAAAGTAAAGACGTCACTCAGGGTTGCTGTTCCGGCTGGCGTGAAGACTCCCGGCGCCCCTGTATATTATATTAATTACTATATTAAATATATGAAACATAAGATGAAGTGGGCCGCCATGACCAAATTTCCCGGGCCGTTTTATCAAGTCCGACCCTGTATAAACATATAAATGTTTTAAGTTTGCTCTGTCTAAAAGTTACCTATTTCAAATAATAAAAAATCCTGTTTAAGCCTCTGAATAGGTTAATGTACCCTATAACGTAATTCATACCAAACCTACACTTAAATAGTCTTAACCGTGTCTTATTAAAACAAATTGTTTTATTTAAATAGCTTTTGCGGAAATAAACCTAGTTATCAATTTGATGCGAATGAAAAATATAAACGTGTTTAAAATACTACTATTTTAACTAATTTTACTTTTGGTGTGAATATGTGTATAATTTTATTTTCCGTTAGGTGGGAATATGTGAATATATGCTATTTTACAATAAAAAAACTCGTGAAATTTTCAATACGAATTTACGGAAACGAATAAAGATGGCAGGTAGAACGTTTGGGAAAACCTCGTGTCAGTTCTCTAAACAAATTATATCTTACTTAGTAAGTGTTTGTAATTTAAAATATAAGAGATTTATTCAATTAAAATTTAATATATACGTATATTATAATATATATGTATATATAAACATTTAATATATACATATATAACATTTAATATATATATAATATTTTTATATTTAATATATACATATATATAGGTACGTGCACTGAAATTTTTATATTGATCATATAGTAGAATGTTATACATCATTAGAAAGGCCTTTAATACAGTATTTTAAAGGTGAAAAAATCATTAAAAACGAACAATTCTAAAAAAAGTTATAACATTTTTAGTAACAAATTTTAGATAATTAGATTTTTATAATTGTTTTACCAGATTACAAGTTGCACTAGTATACATTTTCTCATTTAAATGATCATATTTAACCCACCAACCTAATAAAAAATAATAATAATAAAATGTTTTAAAACATAGAAATTACTCTATGTCTTGGCTTTTAGTAAATGATTTTAGTTTTAAGATCGAAATGACCTATAAGCTTCATATGTAAGCTCTAAAAACAAATAAAATATTAATGTATTTGTAATTCATGTAATTAAAAATTAAAAAAATTAAAATAAATACTTACCAAGACAGTTTGTCTGAATATATATAAAGAATGATTAATGAATCAATGAAATTTTTAATAAAAGTTAATCAGAATAAAAACTCAAACATGTATAAGCTTCTGATTCTCCTTTTATAGCACTTGGAGAGATAACAAAACGCAAAAGTATTAAATAGATAATATAAATAGGAATAAGAGGAACTTAGTAAAAAATCAGAGACATTCTAGATTTATAAATTTACCGTTTAAAGGTGGTACAAATGGAACTAAAAGTAAAATTTGTTTTTATAAAAAATACAAATTGCAAATGGTAATAAATGCATTCATAGTCTAAAAAGTAATAATTTTTATATAAAAATGGTTTAAATTAAAAACCAGTTGATAAGAAATGCAATTGCAAAAAGGAATATGCAATTGATAAGAAATGCATACACATGTTAAAAGAAAAAAGGTTTTGAAACTTACCAGGCGTAGCCACACGTATAAAGAACTAAAGGTAAAAAATATATTATAAAAATCAATATTGCAATCAATGAGAAATTTGTGCACATTAAAAAGAGTTGTTTAGGTGTAGCACAAAAGGTAGATACTAAAATTACAATGTTGTAACAAAAAATCAATATTTTAAATAACGAGAAATGCATACACATAAAATGTAATAGTTTTTTAAATTAATAGTTGCAGCACATGACTAAGGAAATGAAGTTAAACATATTGTAAAGGAAATAAAGTTAAACAACTTTTTAATTTCACATTAAAAAGTTGTTTAACTTACCAAGTGTAACACAAAAGGTAGATACTAAAATTAAAAAATTGCAGCAAATGGGAAATCCATACACAACAAGTAATAATTAAATAAGTAGGAAATACATATATTTATTTATATTTCTTCAATGGTTAATAAAAGTTATGCTATAATAACTTACCAGCTGTAGTCTGTGCATATTGGAATAATGATAACAAAAAAATTGTATGATCAAAAAAAAAAAAGATCTTGAAATTGTCAACAGTCAATAAAAATAAGTTATTAAATCAGTTCTGCTTTACGTATAACAACTTTACTAACAAGAAAAAGGTATGAAAAAAAAAAAATAAAAACAAATAATATTACTGTATTTTAAAATTATATTACTGTATATTAGAAAGACACTAACAAGATATAAGAATAAACTTATAATTGTAAAAGTATCTTGATATTTTTACAAAAATAAGCTTATTTTTATAAAAATATTTTGTCAAAAACGTTATTGGCTTAAGCCAATAATGTTTTACTTTAAAGTATAATAATGTTGTTTGTATATTTTTATATACATGGTGTATTAACAACATTGGTATCTGATACTAATAGTTAATAAAATATTCCAAAGTAACAGTTTAATCTTAAATCTTAATCTTTTTTAATATACCATCATTGGTATATATAGTTTAAAAAACCTTAATCTTTGTTTACATGCCATGTAAACAAAGATTAAGGTTTTTTAATTTATCATTGCTTTGTTTTTTAAAAAAGTTATTATTATCATGAAAAACATATTAACTTACTTTTTAAAGTTTTCTTTTCCATAATTTTACCATTTTTATTTGAATTTTAATCTAATATTAAGAATTAAAATAATACAATGTAGTAGTAATTTTTTGTTTACAATCCGCTTCCCCCCTATCCTCCCCCGTATTTCTCTTACTGATAAAACAAAAACAAAAAAAACCGAATTTAGGTACTGAAAGTCCTACACTTCTTAAACTATCTGCTCCCAATTATTTTTTGCTGAAATTTGGCATGTGCAAAGAAAATGCATGTAAAAAATTGCCTGAATAACAAAAAAAGCGGACACGACATTCCTTCGACAACAAATTAATGTGAGAACATCAACGAAATTTTCTTGAAAGTTTTCAGCAAAACTAACCATAAAAAAGTTTAGTGATTATACATAAAAGTACTATAAAAATCAAGCCTAACCTTTCTTCTTTCCAAATATAACTTTTATTTATATATGTTTCTAAAAAGAAACACCACAAAAAACGTTTGTCTAACCCTACCTAAAAAAAGCAGTATATTTAATAAAGCACCTTGTAACATATCTGCTCCCAATTATTTTTCGTTGAAATTTGGCACATAAATAGAAAATGCATGTAAAAAATTGCCTGAATAACAAAAAAAGCGGACACGACATGCCTTCGACTGCAAATTCATGTGAAAACATCAACCAAATATTCAGGAGCAAAATAATCTGTTAAAAAGTCTAGTAACCATACATAAAAGTTTTAAAAAAGTAAAGATTAGCTTCTCTTCTTTCCAAAAAGTATCTATGTGTATATATGTTTCTAAAAAGAAACACCACAAAATTACGTTTACCCCACGCTGCCTAAAAAGAAGTGAAAAAAACAAGTCACAAAATTTTAGCAAAAAAATCGGTTCCGTAAATCACGATATGCGCGTACCTAATATATACAATACATAATATATACATGTTTTCACTGTCAGATGATTTAATATTAGTTTTATTTTGATTATTAATAAAACATTCTTCATGTTTAATATTTATCATAATTTTTTATTGAATTAAAAAAATTAATTACTTTAATGATGCCTGCATTAAATTTCATTTTTTTAATTTAACAAAAGATTTGAATTAATTTAATAATTTCCAATTTTAGGTACTCTCGAATTTTTAAAAAAACTTTTTTTTTTGTTAAAATTGACTACTTTTTAATAAAATTTCATTTTTATGGAAATTGATTTTTTTTATCTCTAAGATTTGTCGAAGAGCTAAGAGTATTTCACTATAAAAATACATACCTTGTATACTTTTTTTAAGTTAGGGTGCCAATAATTGTGATAACAACTCAATTAATGACATGGCAATACTTTTTACATTTTATTTATATAGGTTGTTTTCATAAATATTTTAACAACCTCTTTTTTCATTAGTTTTTTTTAATTACTTTGTTTTAATTGTTTTTGAGTTAATATTTATGATTTATTTTAATTTTCAATAATGCATTTTAAAGTTGACAAAATAGAATTCCACAAAATCCAGTGATAATAATAAGTTAGGGGTCATTCATCCATTACGTCACGTTTTTTTTTTGAGGGGGGTGGGGAGGGGTTAGTGGTTATGTGACAACTCAGGCGGAACTTGTTACTAAAGAGTTACAACCTTGTGATGGGAGGAGGGAAAGGGTCAAAAATGGCCAAAAGTTGCATGACATAATTTGTGGAGAGGGAATTTGTGCAGTATAATAATATTAACAAGAGCAGAGCTACATAATGAGTTAAAAATTTTGCAATGTCTATCAAAACAGCTGCAAAAAAAAAAATCTAACATTCTGGGTGCAGTTTGAAAACATAGTTATCTGGTGCCCACAACTTTAAATATAGTAGGATAAAAGTTTCATGTATTATTTTAAAAAATTATACATAAAGTTTTCATCCTACTGTAATTAAAAACAGAATCTCTTCTAGAACTTGGGCATACAGATATCTAGACCCAAACTTATAGAACATCTGAGCATGAAATAACAAAAATTAATGCTGATGATACAAAGATTTTATCAATAGTTGAAAATACAGAAAAAGTAAAAACGGTTCAAACTAACTTGAATAAAGTTGTTGTTTGGTCAATAAATGGATAATTCTAATTTTAATATTGACTATTGCCTAATTATGCATTATCAGGCTTGAATTAACGCAAAAAAATCTTATCGCAAGCAAAAAGAGTTTTAAGTTGCAGCTATAGTGTAAGGAGCAAGGAACGTATTTAATACTATTACGATATTGCTTTAGTAATTGTTTTTACTTAACATTATACTTAACATGATACTTAAAAAATTAAAAGTAAAAATGCAAATATTCAAATATTTAAACCACTATAATTAGTTATAGAAAACTAATTATTAGGTTCATGCTGACAAAACATGTGTTATTTTTAAAGAGTGTTAAATAGTTATTGTAAAAGCTATAAAACAACAGAAAAACAAATGCAAAGTTGTTTTGACAATATAAAAAGTTGAGTTAAAAACAACTTTGTGATGCTGTTTTTTTGGTGTTTTATAAAGTTTATAACATTAATAACATAAAACGCGTTTAAAATAAAACAAAGTAGATAAATTAAATTGTTATAATTAATAAATATTATTGTTGTAAAACTTTAAACTTCAAACGTTTGCGCACATGCCTATAGAACATACCAGTCTATAATCTATAGACCAAATGAGATCCATTAGATTATATCAAAAAGGAAATTATGAACTATTTTCTCGCCATTTCAATAATGTAGATTGGGAAAATGAATTTTAAAGTAAATCTATAAATGAAATGTATGATTTATTTTTGTATCATTACAATTATGCAACTAATCTGTTTATCCCAAAAATTAATTATCAAAAAAGAAGGAACAGAAACAAATGGATTACTCCTAAGTTGAAATAAAA